CCATATAAGTGATCCAGCCTGTCGATTCTGTATAATCGTTCAGACTGGATTAATGCCATAGAGTACCGTAAAATTATAATCATTAGAGGTAGGCAGGCCAGGTTGCAGGGATGTCAGTGGGGGCCCTGAGGTCTGTGTAGTTAGTTACATTTACCTGATGATATAATTTTCATTGATTATGTGAATGCCATTTCTATGTGTTCATTTGCATGCTTTATGTACTGTGTTGTGTGGTGAGTCAGTAGATGTAATTGCTGACTGATTGCCTAATGATGTCATTAGCATGTGGGGTATGCTGACAGCATCATTATGTTGCAGGTTTGTGCAGTGTTATCAGTTTATACGATATTATTGCCCTAGGAACTCTGTTGAAGGTTTAAGGGACCTCTAGGATTATTCAGGGGAATTCACAGTGCTTAATGAGAGCAGGCAATTGATGGGTTAATTGCCTTGCTGAGGTAAGTGTGTGTTCACAGTAGTCCTTTGCAACGGTTGCAAGAAAAAGAGGGGGCAGTAATATTGGTATACTCTTGTGTGTTGCACAACCGTGTGTCATTATTGTGTGGGCACAGTAATTAACGAGTTGCAGTAGCCGCAACCATATGTGGGCAGTGCATTTGTGATGTTGCATGCCATTGTAGTGTGGCCTATGTAACACTGGGGTTACTTTGTTTCTTTAAGTTGTGTTGAGGACTTAAGGATTCAGTGAGTTAATAATTGGGGAATTAACTGGATAAGGGGTGCACACTTATTGTGGAGTGAGAGAGGGCTGTTATGAGAGAGAACAGCGTTGAGCTTGAGTGAGATACGTCTCGGGAGCAATTAATTGTCCGTGTGACAACTAATTGACCACTCTAGCTAATTATGTAATTAGCCTTCTCATCATGAATTCACGTAGTGGGAGAGGATCTGTCAGTATTTGTGTTAACGTAATTTGCTCGAGACTAATTACCTTTCTGGGGTATAGCAATTAGTGGCTCATGTTAATTAGTGGAGTAATTAACATTGGAGAGCTCCAATGACCCGGTACAGCGAGGTCATGGAGCTAGGATAAATCGTTGTATTAATCATATCCTGTCTGAGGACAGTGGATTAGTGGCACATCTTGTTAATTAGGGGTAATTAACTCCTTTCCCGTGAATTCACAGTGTTTGATGAGACCTGCTTAAGCAGTGCGGAGTGAGACGTATTTATGGATGATTAATTATCGGTCCTGGTGACAGTTAATTAATTACTCAGAATTAATTAGGGAATTAATTAAGGCAATTAACACTCACTAGTAATTTTTTGACACAGACTGTTGAGAAGCTACCAAGTTAGGGTAGGCTTAGTTAACGTAACTCAATGGGGATGTAATTAGTGGTCCGTTTGACCTTAATTGAGAATTACTCACTGAATGCTTGCAAGGAGTCAAGTGTGATGTAATATAAGTTTGAGTTATTGTTAACAAGAGAGACAAGTGTTAATGATTAACGTAGAGTATCATCATGATGTTGTCTAGTGTGAGACAATTGTTTGTGATTACCGTGGTACTTTGTTGCTGACTGCTGCGATCAGTCAATTAACGTAATTAATCACTTAAGGCAATTTCTTTTGGTTGTCGTCTGGTGACATGAGTAGAGTAATCTAGGGATTTGTGGAGCTGTGTCCCAGAATCCCACCTTGCCTGTCTTTGTTACTGTTTACAACAGTGCAACTTCTTGTAGGGAGTTGCAAAGAGTGTTCACACTGGGTTGTGATAGGGGGGGTCACTGTTGGACTACCCGCCTAGTTACGTGGGTCTCTCCTGGGGGGCGGAAGGACCCCTAAGCTTGTGATTATAGTAGCTGTCATTGAAACCGAGACACTATTGATTGCATGCTTGTGTCTTCAGTGGATATCCTTCATTTGTTCAGTTAGTTCATGTTATCAGCCCGAAGTGTCAGCAAGATGGAACCTGCTGTCACTTCTCGAGGGGCTGTTGAATAGCTGTGTTGCAAATGCCACTTGATGGACAATAACGTAACCATTCGCTGTGGTGTAACTTAGTCTGTGATATTTTTCTTTGATTTGCAATATTGCGTCATCAGTGGGCACACCTGTGTTCAGGTTAGTTCAGTATGCAGCCGCACAGCAAGGGTTGCTATTTAGCTGTTTGTTATCGTGCCACTGGATGGACGTTAACGTAACGTAAACTCGGTAATGTAGTAGTTAGTCTCTTGTTATTAATAAATTGTTATGTTATAGAAAACGGTCTTTGATGTCAACCCTTCAACCGTGTTGTTCCACCATATTTCTGCATATTACAATTAAATGTTGATGTGATTTGATATGACGGCTGTTCTTGGGAATTCGAATTCCAACTCATAGCGCCACATCAAATATAAATATTTGATTGTGAGAACCCGTCGGTTACCCTTTATTAGTTTTAACGTCCTGTTGAACTAGGAGGAGCCAGCGGACTATTGTGGACAGGTTTTCACCCCTGGTGGTGGAGGCCTGGCGGTTTGCTCCCGCTTTTCCTTTTTCTATTGGACTCATGCTTAACTGCCGTGAGCAGCCTTTAAACTTGTAGTCCACCTCCTAAGGGAGGTAGGCATAGAAAAAAATCTCAGTGTGGCCAGCTCAACTATGTCTCGTGTGGTCACACTCGCTTGCAGATACGGTATATCTTGCTATCTGTTGACTACAAATATTTACAGGTGTTACAAACGACATTAAATTGTTATAATGTTGAGGCTTACCCTTTAGTTTATAGTATCCATGCCTAATAACGATTAATCCTAGACACAGAAAATAAATTGGCCAATTTCATCTGAGCTAATAAACTGGACTGGCAATTCCCTTGGCTAATAAGTTGCATAGTCTCGCCAGCAAATAATGATAAATTGGAGTCACACTGATTTCTAGGACACTGAGAGTAAATTGGAGTTGTGGGAGGTCCCCTGTCGTCGGAAAGAAGTTTCACCACAACATTCCATATGCTGCCTCTGTTTACACTGGTTCCCTCCTCCTGAGAGAGGGAGAAGAGGGACATTAGAGATTCAATAGGAAGAATGGGTTTGATGTCAAATCTATTTACTATATAATTAATTTAGTAGATTCATTTTATAGTGTAACCAGCTCATCAGTGAGGGACGCTAAAGGAGTAAGAAGTCCTCCATCCATCAGATGAGATGGACTTAATGGCTGACATTCTGAGTTATCTTCAGAGAGGTAGGTCAGTGGTCAGTTATTGACCCGAGACTCAATTTCCGTGAAAATAGTTTGGAGCTCTTGGAGATCGATTTTTTGGTAGAATAGGGTTTTCCTAAGACAATATTTGACGGTTCCCACCATTCGCTCCGTGCCACGGTGCTCTGGGAGGTATAAATTTCCAGTGACACTGCCGTTGGTTCAGAGCAGAACATACCACTAGGTGGTTCCAGACCTCCCTCAGATATGCTTTCCCTGCCACAAGGTTGGATCCATTGTCTGAGATTATAACCTTAGGGCAGGATCTGTAGGATAATCGTAGCAGGCAGTATGGGACCTTTTAGAAAATATTTATTTTCTATTTGTTATTTTCTTCAATAGTGAATTATGATTCTAAGTGGACTGTATGTTCGATTCAGTCTGCCAATTTTTACCTGCACATAGTTGGTGGGATGTGCATGGAACTTATACCACAATAAATGGTGATAATAATAAGCAATACACATTTACCTTTTGTAAATTATACCACATATGATGACTTATATCAAGCTACAGTGAGGTTAATACTACAAATGTTATAATTATATTAGTATAACTGTGTGAGCTTATCTGAATATGTGGATATGGCCTGTTGGGCTTAAACATCAAATTAGGGTATGGCACATGTGGTCCAGGTGCCGTGCCATGTAACGGCGTCTAAAATGGCGTCTGTAGGTCCAACTAGATCATGCATGGAAGCTTCGAAGGTTGTAGGTAGTGAGCTCACTAATATCTCCAGGGAACAAGCTTACCTGCCAAAGAATGAGTTATAATAATGGCTCCATTAACATATAAAGTACAGGTGTGACTTGAATTAAATGGGGATTGTGTAAAGAGATAAACTCACTTTGATTGGGTTTTAAGCCCGCTCATAACCAGCATGTTTGAATCTAAAATTTACAAGGCCTCATAAAACTATACATAAAACAAATTGGATACTCAGCTCTTCTTTTTGTTGTAGAGGTCACTATGGCAGTTTCTCGGTTAGGTGACTTATATTTTGGAGTCTGATGTGTTGTGCACGTCGTGAGCCCTCTCTGTTTTGTTTACAATCAGTCTCGTGTGAGTGTAAGAGCATGACTGTCCCCTGCTCCTTCTCCTGAGGTGGCGTTCCAATATTTTTGGTTCCAACTCTGTCTTAAGGACTAAGGCCTCAAGCTATATATTTTCTGGTGTATTTATTTATATTCAGTCCTAGTGAATACTATTTTATTAAGTTTCACCCTTAAACCGCGCAATACATACAAATATGATGGGAGTAACTTTCCCGAAGCCACACAATACATACACGTACGATTGATGGGTCTAATGCACAATTTTAAATGTCCCACGAGGGACAGGGGAAGCTATAGTCAGCTACGGTCGATAGTAAACAGATGCCACCTAGAAAAAATCATGGGTTACATATTGGGGTGTGTGAGCCTCAGTTCTGAGTGAGCCACCAAGGTTAGTATACGCAGCATGAGCTCACAGTACTGCTGTTCAGCTTGTAACCACAGCATCACCTAAAAATGTCAAAATATATATGTACATGCTATTATTTAACGATGATAGTATTACAGAAGAACCCTGACTGTTATAACAATTACCAGGATTCTGGTAATAGCAGGATTGTTGTGAAAATTAGCACTGTGATGGGAGGAGTAATCTTGGTGGGGAGGGAGGTAGGGTTGTCTGCTGACTCTGTGTGGCCTCCTTTTACTCTCAGGACTCACTATACCAGCTTAGGGGGTCTACAGACGGGAAAATAGAAAATGTTCCGATTTTTTTTAAATTTAATCATGGAATGGATATAGAAAGGGCTGCAACTGGTCCAAGTTTCAGCATCACACCCTAAATAGAAAGGGAGAAAAAAATACACAACGTATTATGCAACGAATTTTCAACATATTCAAAAAATTTCAGCGAACACATGTGTCAGCTAAAATCATTTCTATAACACTCAGATATCACATTAGCATGTAATAAAGGATTTCAAATAGGAGTTTTAGTCAAAAAGCGTTTAGTGCAATAATACAATTATTCAAAGTTCCCCTTCCAAAAATATGCAATAAATGATGTTTATTAATATTTAAAAAATCATTAAATGGACTTTGGACTACAGTGTTATTTGACATTGTAGAAGCACAAACTCTGCACATAAGCCGTAATTTGCATGTAAATTGATTAATAAATGAAACCTGTGAAGCACCTTGAAGTTGTAAATTACTTACCTGAGTAAAATAAGATCAGAGATATGGCCACCTGTAGCCGAGCTACACTTCGACCAATTTCGTTTATAATTGGCACCCTTGCAGATAGGCATCCGTTCTGCAAGGTGTGTAAGTTCTATGCAAATCCCCTGATAACAAACGGGGAAAAAATGCATATAAATAAATAAATAAATAAATATATATATATATATATATATATATATATATATATATATATATATATATATATATATATATATATATATATATATATGGCACAACTCTCCTAAACACGAGAGTTAAGTATACAACTTTAGAACACTTTCCCACCAGGAGACTCGAACACTAGCCAGCACAGAAGCCTTCCAGCAACTGGCATAACAGGTACGCCTTAACCCTCTGCACCACCGCTCAGACCCTTAAAAGAGATGGTAATTTCGGAGTATTTAAATACCCCAAAGATCAACACCTCCCAAGAGCACCAGAGAAAGTGAGGGGTCATTTAGACGTTAATTTCATCAAGTCCCTGTTAATATGGGAAGACACAGTGTCTCTGCTTAAGGCACAACTCTCCTAAACACGAGAGTTAAGTATACAACTTTAGAACACTTTCCCACCAGGAGACTCGAACCCTAGCCAGCACAGAAGCCTTCCAGCAACTGGCATAACAGGTACCCCTTAACCCTCTGCACCACCGCTCAGACCCTTAAAAGAGATGGTAATTTCGGAGTATTTAAATACCCCAAAGATCAACACCTCCCAAGAGCACCAGAGCAAGTGAGGGGTCATTTAGACGTTAATTTCATCAAGTCCCTGTTAATATGGGAAGACACAGTGTCTCTGCTTAAGGCACAACTCTCCTAAACACGAGAGTTAAGTATACAACTTTAGAACACTTTCCCACCAGGAGACTCGAACCCTAGCCAGCACAGAAGCCTTCCAGCAACTGGCATAACAGGTACGCCTTAACCCTCTGCACCACCGCTCAGACCCTTAAAAGAGATGGTAATTTCGGAGTATTTAAATACCCCAAAGATCAACACCTCCCAAGAGCACCAGAGCAAGTGAGGGGTCATTTAGACGTTAATTTCATCAAGTCCCTGTTAATATGGGAAGACACAGTGTCTCTGCTTAAGGCACAACTCTCCTAAACACGAGAGTTAAGTATACAACTTTAGAACACTTTCCCACCAGGAGACTCGAACCCTAGCCAGCACAGAAGCCTTCCAGCAACTGGCATAACAGGTACGCCTTAACCCTCTGCACCACTGCTCAGACCCTTAAAAGAGATGGTAATTTCGGAGTATTTAAATACCCCAAAGATCAACACCTCCCAAGAGCACCAGAGCAAGTGAGGGGTCATTTAGACGTTAATTTCATCAAGTCCCTGTTAATATGGGAAGACAGTGTCTCTGCAGAGGGTTAAGGCGTACCTGTTATGCCAGTTGCTGGAAGGCTTCTGTGCTGGCTAGGGTTCGAGTCTCCTGGTGGGAAAGTGTTCTAAAGTTGTATACTTAACTCTCGTGTTTAGGAGAGTTGTGCCTTAAGCAGAGACACTGTGTCTTCCCATATTAACAGGGACTTGATGAAATTAACGTCTAAATGACCCCTCACTTGCTCTGGTGCTCTTGGGAGGTGTTGATCTTTGGGGTATTTAAATACTCCGAAATTACCATCTCTTTTAAGGGTCTGAGCGGTGGTGCAGAGGGTTAAGGCGTACCTGTTATGCCAGTTGCTGGAAGGCTTCTGTGCTGGCTAGGGTTCGAGTCTCCTGGTGGGAAAGTGTTCTATAGTTGTATACTTAACTCTCGTGTTTAGGAGAGTTGTGCCTTAAGCAGAGACACTGTGTCTTCCCATATTAACAGGGACTTGATGAAATTAACGTCTAAATGACCCCTCACTTGCTCTGGTGCTCTTGGGAGGTGTTGATCTTTGGGGTATTTAAATACTCCGAAATTACCATCTCTTTTAAGGGTCTGAGCGGTGGTGCAGAGGGTTAAGGCGTACCTGTTATGCCAGTTGCTGGAAGGCTTCTGTGCTGGCTAGGGTTCGAGTCTCCTGGTGGGAAAGTGTTCTAAAGTTGTATACTTAACTCTCGTGTTTAGGAGAGTTGTGCCTTAAGCAGAGACACTGTGTCTTCCCATATTAACAGGGACTTGATGAAATTAACGTCTAAATGACCCCTCACTTGCTCTGGTGCTCTTGGGAGGTGTTGATCTTTGGGGTATTTAAATACTCCGAAATTACCATCTCTTTTAAGGGTCTGAGCGGTGGTGCAGAGGGTTAAGGTGTACCTGTTATGCCAGTTGCTGGAAGGCTTCTGTGCTGGCTAGGGTTCGAGTCTCCTGGTGGGAAAGTGTTCTAAAGTTGTATACTTAACTCTCGTGTTTAGGAGAGTTGTGCCTTAAGCAGAGACACTGTGTCTTCCCATATTAACAGGGACTTGATGAAATTAACGTCTAAATGACCCCTCACTTGCTCTGGTGCTCTTGGGAGGTGTTGATCTTTGGGGTATTTAAATACTCCAAAATTACCATCTCTTTTAAGGGTCTGAGCGGTGGTGCAGAGGGTTAAGGCGTACCTGTTATGCCAGTTGCTGGAAGGCTTCTGTGCTGGCTAGGGTTCGAGTCTCCTGGTGGGAAAGTGTTCTAAAGTTGTATATATATATATATATATATATATATATATATATATATATATATATATATATATATATATATATATATATATATATATATGTCGTACCTAATAGCCAGAACGCACTTCTCAGCCTACTATTCAAGGCCCGATTTGCCTAATAAGCCAAGTTTTCATGAATTAATGTTTTTTCGTCTACCTAACCTACCTAACCTAACCTAACCTAGCTTTTTTTGGCTACCTAACCTAACCTTACCTATAAATATAGGTTAGGTTAGGTTAGGTAGGGTTGGTTAGGTTCGGTCATATATCTACGTTAATTTTAACTCCAATATAAAAAAAATTGATCTCATACATAGAGAAAAGGGTTGCTTTATCATTTCATAAGAAACAAATTATAGTAAATATATTAATTCAGGAAAACTTGGCTTATTAGGCAAATCGGGCCTTGAATAGTAGGCTGAGAAGTGAGTTCTGGCTACTAGGTACGACATATATATATATATATATATATATATATATATATATATATATATATATATATATATATATATATATATATATATATGTATGCCTGCACATATATATTACAAAATATCATATTATAACCCTAAAACATACTAACCTATTGTAATTGGTCTGAATTGTGGGTCCTCAAGGTGGCACTGCAATGGGCACTAATAGGCACCTGTGCCATTGCTGGGTCACCTTCCTCAGGAGCCTGTCTCGGCTTGTTGGAGGGAGGGAGGTCTAGGAAGGTGTGTGAGGAGGGTCTAGGAGGGTCGAGGAAGGTGTGTGAGGAAGGTTGAGGAGGTGTCGGTGTCACGCCTCACAGCTGATGCAGGGAGGCCACCACCATCTCTCACTGGATATTACTTTTCTTCGCGCTAAAGTGGCCTTCTTTTACTGATAAAGACGGCGACCGAGTGCCAGATTTGCTGCTCTTATCTGCTGACACTTCCTCTTTACAAGTCTTTGTGCAGTAGAGGCAACAATGCGCTATTCCAGGAGCGAGAATGTAGCGCATCGACAGGCAGTCCACACTCAATAGGACACACGAGGTGACTGAGGGCTGGTACCTCGCTCATCCCCCACAAGGGGTGAGAAGGTTGCCAATGAGTGTATATTTACTCTTTATACATACAGAGATATTTACAACGTTATTACGAAAAATTTGACGTTTAGATCGTACGACGCAATACCTGTGGCGCGCCACAGCCGCGGGGCACCGGATTCTGACCAATTTCGCATGGAAATGTACCATAAATACATCAATTTATATCATAACATTATGCGGATTGCACCACAGTGTTGCCAGAACTACGTAGTATTTTTATAAATTTTTCAAAATATTACGATTTTTCCCGAATTTTTTCATTGTTAAAGCCCCTTAGTGGTTCGCTAGAGTGAACACAAATGTGGATACTTATATATGTGTGTATATAGTGTAATAACAGCAATAGGAATATGTTGGGAGCAGCCATTTTGGCGAGGAAGGTGGCATCGTCTGCATGACATTTCATGTTGTGTCCTGGTGGTCACTATGCTCTTTGGACACCATACCAGCTTATTTGTACAGGTATGTTGAATAAAACATGTAGATACGTATATATAATGTGTGTATATAGTTTAATAACACCACAAACAGCATTGTTGGGGGAGAAATATTAGTGTGTCTGGCCTTGACCCAGTGAAGGCGGCAGCCAGCAGCTGTGAGTGTTGCTTTGTCTTTTATTGCCTGAACTCACCATACAAGCTTAGATTTATAGTTATGGTGAACAAAACATACATATATATATATATATATATATATATATATATATATATATATATATATATATATATATATATATATATATATATATATCGTCAGTATTTTGTGAATAAAAGCAAAAACAGGATGGTGTGAGGAGGATGTTGGCGAGTGAGAAGGTGAGGGAGTGGTGGCCAGTGGCTGGCTGGTGTGGGGCGGCCACTCTTCATTGCTTTTTGAGTCATCCTACCAACTTAGTGTTTCGGTATGGTGGCCAAAAAATGCAGATAATTATGTATAACCAGTGTAAATAGTATAATACAGCAAACTATTTGTTAATTGTTTTATGAACATGATAATTGAATCACTGATATGAACACCATTATTTTGAGTATAACGATGATTCACACATTTTATTATATAAATATATCACACTACACACTATTGAATAATATTACTGCAAAAAAAAGTAAAAAATCAGAGGCATAGAAATAATTAGTAATAATATCTTAGTGGCAACTCCCACCTGAAAGCTGGGGCAGAGCAGACCTCGTTTGGTGCCAGCTCAGTCAACACCTCTTTTTTGGCCAGACTTCCTTATCCTATTGCGATTAAATATGCCATCTGCATTTTTTTTAATTTTTCCCGTGATCAGGGAACACAAATGAACACTTTATTGGACGAAAGAATTTTTGTTATTTGTTGTTGTTGTTGTGTCTGGTGGTGTTGCAGGCCAAAAAGCCTTTAGCGGTTTAAGGGTTAAACAGTAGACTGTTTAAAAGAATAATTGGAATTGGAATATATGGGTTGTGGTGATGACATCACAAAACTCCCATTCTCTTTAAGTTTGGTAATGGCTAACTATAGAATGTTAACATGTGTGTCGGATTTCCGACATAATTCCGGGGCTGCGAAATACGGATCGAAGTCCCGGTAAGGATTGTGAACACTTTATTCCTCGCCCTCAGAATCATAAAGTTGTTTAATTTGAGCTTGCAATGTCGTGCAGTAGTCCATTCTGGATATATGTACCATACTGGCGCTTTGGGTTATAGAAGTCTTTGAGTGTCTTCTTTTCCTGCCAATTCTAAATGAACTAATTTCTCTAAGGTTTAGAGAGTAGTATTGCTTCGGTACTTGACTTCCACTAATCTCAAGATGCCCTGACGGTTTGGATGAACAAAGATTATTTGGACTATAGGCCACTCTGACCGTGGCCCATCACTGTCCACCAGAACTATGTCACCAGGGTTCAAGTTAATTCTGTTGTAGGGGTTATTTGCCACGTAGTGATACTCCCTCAGAGCAGTTAGGTATTCTTTGGTCCATACGTCATTACATAGACTTATCACTCGTGAAAGATTTTTGAAACGTTGAACCATGTCACTCTCTTGGACATTTGAAGGATCTTTTGATTCCTCGTCCATAAGGGACACTAGAGGTCTTAGAGGTGCCTCCATACATCAGATGAGCTGGACTTAATGGTTCATGTTGTGAAACATCGTCAGAGAGGTAGGAAAGTGGTCGGTTGTTAACTCGAGCTTCTATTTCTATGACAACGGTTTGGAGCTCCTGCATGTCAATCTTTTGGCGGTGTAGGGTTTTCCGAAAAGACCGTTTTACTGTACCGATCATGCGTTCATTGAAGCCTCTGTGCCATGGTGCTCTGGGTGGTATGAATTTCCAGTGGCACTGCCATTGATTCAGGGCAGTGCGTACCATTGGGTGGTACCAGATTTCCCTCAGACATGCTTCCCCTGCCACTAAGTTGGACCCATTGAATGAGATCATCAACCTAGGGCAGGATCTATGGGAAGCAAACCTGCGGAAAGCCTGTAAGAATGCCTCAGCACTCATATCGGAAAGCCTGTAAGAATGCCTCAGCACTCATATCGGAAAGCCTGTAAGAATGCCTCAGCACTCATATCGGGAAGTATCTTCCAGATGTACTTCCCTTTGTTGTGGTACAGGTGAATAGGCAGATCTAAGCCTTCACTTGGATTATGTCCTTGGTGCCTGTTAGTGTTCCTGTGACATCTACTCCTGTGGTCTCAATGGAACGAAAATGAACAACTCGTTCCTTTGGAGTTGAGGAAATCCCAGATAAGGACAGACTCTGGCATCGTACCTCCGGCAGTTTACACAGGATTTAATTATGGACTTTACAGTCAAACGACTTTGGGGTAGCCAGAACTGCTGTCTTAACACTTTAATGCGCCCGGTTCCCGCGAAAAAAACTCTGCGCATTGTGCGCGCGGCGTTTTTTTCTCTTGAGGGTAAACACCAAACAGTGTGTAATCTTTTCACTCTCCTGACACCAATTCTCGAGCTACGTATTTCCTTTTGGTATCAATGTGTTGGCAATAACATTCTCTACAAGATCATATGTATAAAATGTAACCAAAGCATTAGCTATTCCACCATGAAATGAATAAAAACGTAGATCACTCGCCGTCTCGCCGTACGCCCAAACAGTAACAAAATGTTCATACTCTTTTGTTTGTTGTTAGCTCCACATTAGTCCTACAGCATTAAATTTTATATCACTGAACTCGCAATAAAATTCTCTACACAGACATATGTATATAAATGTAGAATCATGATCGCGGCCAACACAAGAGTGTTTGAAGTGGGCGATTACCCTCGTTGTGTCACCAAATCAATAGTCTCTCCTCTAAGTTACAATACAATGCCGTTTTTTTTAAATAGGCACTGTGCCTATTAGAGAAAACGGAAATTTAATGGCAAACATATTCATACAAACCCCAAGTCGATCGAGTAGTATATACCTACTATAACACGGACCGTAAATGTATGACGCGACCCCACAAGCGCTAGAAATAAACCAAGTACATCCAAGTGAAGGGGGCAGAAAAGTGTTTTAAGTTGGTGAGGGTATCTAGTACCCCGTTATGAAGTGTTGTGTTTGTGTATGTGTAACACAATTAGCTTGCTTATTAAGTGGTGACGAGGAAGTAATATTTGATTTTTTGCTTCTGGATCTATGTCCGCATGCTGTAAGCATCCTCCGCACTTTATTAGGTTATAATTGTTTGTGACAATCCAGAGACCCAAATTATTTTGAAGTTTCTCAGGCATGTTGTCAAATTCTCTCTCAGATATATCTGTTTGGGCTCTTTTGATCCAGTACCTTAATGGACTAGGGAACTGATGCTTAATTACTATTTTCTTTAAAATATCAAAGAACACTTGTGTGACACCTAGTAGTCTGTTCAGTTCAGAGTACCGATTAGGATCAATTATTAAAGTCCAAGGGGTTCTCTATTATCAGTGGGAAGAGTGACATTGGTCACAATGATATCTGGCTTTTCTTCAGGTCATTGGTCACTGACTAGCCACTGAGGTCCATTGAATCACATCTCTGCTTTGGTTAACTGCTGTCAGACCTCTGGAGAAAGAATCAACTGGATTCTCCTTCGTGGGTACATATTTTTTTTTTTTGAGATATATACAAGAGTTGTTACATTCTTGTACAGCCACTAGTACGTGTAGCGTTTCGAGCAAGTCCTTAATCCTAAGGTCCCTGGAATACGATCCCCTGCCGCGAAGAATCGTTTTTTCATCCAAGTACACATTTTACTGTTGCGTTAAACAGAGGCTACAGTTAAGGAATTGCGCCCAGTAAATCCTCCCCGGCCAGGATACGAACCCATGACATAGCGCTCGCCGAACGCCAGGCGAGTGTCTTACCACTACACCACGGAGACTGCATATCTCAGTTTGTACCCCTGCTGATAACTCTCGTATTTCCTTAACGCGGTTACTCAAGTAAGGATTGTTATTGTTATTATTTCTCACCCACTGTAGTACTGCCTCGTATCTGACCATACCACTGTTTCTTCAAAGTGAATGTTACTTAAGGCATTGCTCAGATAATAAGCCAATGTTACTCCTAACAGTAGGGCTGTTAATTCCAGTTGTGGCAATGATCGTTTCTTTAACGGTGCCACTCTGGCCTTTGATTTTGCAATTGGCATGCCCATTTGATGCCAGGTAAGCTACTGTACCATAAGCCTTTCCTAATGCATCGTAGAACACATATAGTTTAATTTTTTTATTTTCTTTAATTTGTTCTGAGGGAACTTGACAAACTCTAGGATAGTTAGATCCTTCACTTGCCCCTGCCACTTTTCTTGTAAGGCAGGTGATAAAAAATCATCCCAGCCTATCTTATGTTGTCAGCATTCCTATATTATCAACTTCCCATTTATCAAGATGAGGCTTAATAGTCCCAAGGGGTCTAAGGGTTTGCTGACTTATGATAGTAGTTTCCT